TGCTGTTCAGACAGACCGCTGGGTGATGGGTGTGCAGTGTTTGGCTGGTAATACTGAACGCCGTCCCCTGCTGAAAGATTCCAGAAGCTTCTCCTCCTCACAGGGTTCCTGGGTCATGCGTTTGTCATCATGACCTCTGACCCCTCAGGCCAGCGTGGCAGCAGGAATGTAGGAGATGTTTACGCTGCTGAAACTGATGGAGTCCAGGTGGTCGCTTCAATCCCTCCATTCGCTCTCTATCTTTCTCTTTCTCTGTATCGCTCGGTCACTCCCTCTATTCTGCTTGTTCTTTGTTTTATCTGGATAAAACACGTTACATGTGTGTGTAACAGCTCACGGTTTCAGTTGGTTTTGTGAGAAGTCCTCTGACGGCTGCATTTTCAGAGGCAAATGTTTATTATAAGATTATATGGAGTAGAGGAAGTGCAGGCATTGTCAGCGAGCGTTTGGCAGCGCGTGTGTCCCACCTTCACGATGATGGTCCATCTCTCTCGCCATCATTCATCTGCTGATGGCTTTTTGAAGTGCTCTCTAACTTCTGGAAAGTTTTCCACCCCCACCCCCACTTTTAAAAGGCCATTAAACTGTGTTGTAATGCAAACGGTAATTCTAAAGAGACCAAACAGGTGTCCGATGTGCAGGCAGCGTGTCTAATGTAGCTATTACATGGACAACAGCAGATTATCATAAAAGCATCTCTCCTTAATGTGGACTGGACTGATCAATAGCAGACTGGCGATGAGACGTGCACGCACGCACACACACACACACACACACACACACACACTCACGTGCTGCAGACTGGAACTGATATTTGCTGCACTTTATTAATCCTCTGTAGCGTCCTGACCTGATTCCACGCACACACTGAGTGTTTCGTCGTCACTTTGGGCTTGACAGCTGTTTGCGGTTCTGCAAACTCCAGGCTTTGGGTTTGGATTGGGGTTAGGGTCAGATTTAGCGTTATCCCATTTACCTTTGCTCTGCCTCTTCATACATCTGTCTTTGCTTCGCCCGGGGCTCGTTCCTGCTCCTCTGTGAGTGCAGAGAAGAGAGAGGTCAGAGGTCACACAGCTCCTCCACAACCATCTGACGTAACATCTCTCTGAAAGTGGCATGGGTGTCGGATTTGAATACGAGGACTTCTCATGGCTGCCGTGGCCTCCAGCTTGTTCAAAGGCAGTATTTTTAGAGCCACTATGAGATAGAAGCTGCTCTTCGCTGCTCTCTGTGTTTTTGAAGTACTCTCTGCAGGCACACAGCTTTTACTCATACCTTTTTGGATTAAAATGATCCTCATTAAAGCACTATAAGGCTTTTCATCCTTTCAGTGGCATGAGGGAAAGCTTATTTAACGTGTTTTATTGAGTTTGGTGCCACAGAGATGTGTCATGCTTTATTGAATTTAACAGAATCACTGAAATGTCATTTTAAGTAATTTCTTTGCAATAATCTATGAAATGCTTTGACTGTATCATGACAATTGTGCAGCAGACAATGTATTTTTAATATATATATATATATATATATAGAGAGAGAGAGAGAGAGAGTCTCAGTGTTTAGTACAGCAGAGTTAGGCAGGTTAAAAGGACAGTTTTCTGTCATAATTTACTCTCTCTGTTGTCGTTCCAAACCTTTCTTTATTCTTCCTTCTTGGCAATGGCAGTACATCATTGCTTGTTTTAACATTTAATAAAAGCACCCAAGAGCATCAGCAAAAACATCCATCCAGTCTGCTGATCACTTCCAAAGTGCTCTGAGTGGTTTTAGTGAAAAACAACCTGATATGATTACCCAGTTAAAATGAATTAAAATGTACATTGTAATGAATTGTAATTCGCCATTGTAATGAATTCACCAAATTAGATATTCATTACATAGCTTCCTTTTGTGATTCACAGAAGAATGAAAGTCATACGAGTTTGGAGCGACGTAAAGGGGAGTAAATGATAACAGAATGAGCATTTTTGGGTGGACCATTGCTTTAATGTTTGTGCATGAACGATGTGTGTAAACAGGGTTTATTTTAGCTGTAATCTTAACTCTTTACAACTAAACTAAAAAAAAACTGAAACGGAGACAACAAACTATTTTCCATTTTTTTCCAAAAACTCTCATTAGTCGATTATAATATCACAGTGTTTTTGATCAGCACTGCCTTATTTTAAATGGGTTTATAGTAGGGATGCACCGATACCACTTTTTCCAGTACTCGCCCGATACCGATACTTTTATTTTTGGTACTTGCCGATACCGAGTACCGATACCGAGTACCGATACCAATATTTTCATTGCATTTTTTAAAATATTGGGCACAGAAACCAAAAGAGTATGTATAATGTTAGTTAGAAAATGGTAATAAAACATGACAAGAACTCAGAGTTAAACTGTGTCAGAACAAATTCATCTTGATAATGCTAGATAATTTTGATAGAAAGGTATGTAATAGATTACAATCAACCAAAATAATTCAGACAGCTGTTAGTATGACAGTATTTACACAACTATGAATACTTTGTCGGGCAACCCTTAGCCTTAATGACAGCCTGTAGTCTCCTGGGCATTCTGTCAACCAGCTTCATGCAAACCTCAACTTCAGTTTTTTCCCAGACTCTGTCTGAATAATTTTCGGTCCCAAATTTGTATCAATTTTACTGGTAGTCCACTGTATGAAGAATTTTTGGGTATAATATATCACAGTTTAGTTTATTTTGCTATCCTCACTTTACATAAATGAACTGTTTACTTTATTTTGCTATCCTCACTTACATAAATGAACTATAGTGTCCTGCACCCACTAGTAAAAAAATATCAAAAATTATATCTGGTCTCTGAATCATTTTTGGTTTCACTGTATATCCTTCGGTTATTTTCACACTTAATTATGCCCATTAAAATGTATTTTACAAGTTTTTGTTACTTTTACTGTTCATTTTTTTGCTCTATGGTACATCATCTTTAATTTAATAGCATTAGAGCAGCGGCTTAGTACTGTAATCACGCGCTTTGCTGTAATAATGCAGGGAACCACTCGTTATAAATCTCCTAACTGTGATATTTTCAGAAATAGAAGTCGCGTTTTTTTCATCTGAAACGTGCAGCGATTTATTTTCCAAAGCCACTCATATAATGCAGAAACACTCAAGCAAGCAAAACACGCGCAACGCCTGCACGTGTTTGTACTGATGCAGAATAGTAGAGTCTAGCGCATTTCACACAGGCTGCTAGATTCACTTTCGCTAGAAAGTCGTGTATGCCTAAGGTTGAAAATAAATGATGTTTATAGTGAATGCCCCTATGAATGGTTTTATTTTTACAATTTCGTTTTAATCCAAATGATGTGTGTGCTAAGTGAGTGAACATCAAAGATCACACAACAGAAGTGCGCGCGTGCTCTCTCTCTCTCTCTCCCTACCGTTAAGTAACGTGTGCATTGTTTGACTTACTTGTTTTTGACATATCCGACCGAACTACAAACTTTCCAGTGATGTCTGTGAGAAAGGGATATTCACTCGACAAGCTCGCGCATCTGCGCCGCCGCGCGCTCAATCCACTCGCGCTCAATCCACTCAGCATGATTTGCTTACCAGCTCGCGCACATCAGCTTCGGTATCGGTGCATCCCTAGTTTATAGAATTTGAACGTTATTTAAGTTGATTGTGTCAAATATGTTTAGATGAACAGCCAATGCAGTTTAACGGTATCCCATTTTTTCCCTCTGGGATCAATAAAATTCTTTGATATATTTGCCTAAAATCATACAGCACATCATGCAGCATCTAGGAGTACATGAACAAAACAAGCACAAGAAGTGCATTATTTCAGCTCAACTCTTTGGATATTCACCTTACCTTTTGTTTACACACAAGATCAAATGTGTGCAGTTCAATACTAAGCATTAATTAAATTATATTTTAACTGCTGGTGTGTCAAAAAACTCTCATATGTCCCTGTATGTTGTAGATGAAGCGATTTGTGTTTGCATGTGAAATGGAGTTCGCAGGAGGGAATCTGCCAGAACGAGCCGCTGCTCAGCGTCGAACTCGACTCCAGACCACAGCCTGAGGGAGAAGATCAGCAAAACGAATTTTGTCTTTAAAAAAGCTCTTACAAACAGCAGCACTGCAATCCAGCCAATTTCTGCATGTTGATTTGATAAGCGTCCTCTGGGTCTCGCTGCACGACTGAGGGCTTCCCATGTGTGACTTCATAAAATTTGCCTCTTACAAATAAAGCTTTGATCTCCTGTAAGTAATACAGATTTAACCGAATATTTCAAGCTATATTAGTTACACAGTAATAGTTCATGCCATTTTGCTTGTTGTAAATTTGCAGTTAAGGAGAGGAGATGCCCACTCAGTCATCTGTTTCTGAGCGTTAAAGAAGCAAAAACCTGTTAAAACCTGCTCTGTAATGGATTAAACGCGGCATGTTTTTACCTGCTCTGTAATTGGTGTATTAAAATGTCAAGCGACTGCACCAAATGTAATATCGGTTCATCAGCTCAGTAGATATAAACTTCATGGACTGATTGTCATTCGTTCGAGGCACGATTACTAGAAATGTGTATTTAATTAATTGTTTTTGAATTCAAGTGCTTCTGTGAAAAATCCCTCACGTCCTCCTGTCTAACCAATGATTTACATACAACCATGAATTTTTTTGGAAATGACCCCCCCCCGTATTTAAAGCAGATATGTGACAACTGAATCACTGCAAAGAAAACATTGAATTGGATGAAACATATACGATTCTGGTGAGCAAAAGCATAAGTTGCTGGGATTGATCAGAGGCTGTTAAAGCACACACACACACACACACACACACACACACATACACACCCAGTATCCAGTGCTTGAGTGTGTCTTGTGCCGGGCTGCATTGATTTAATGCATTACTCAAACTGCTGGAGAGAGAGAGAGCAGAGGTAGAGAGTCTCTCCTGACTGCATTAGGAGCCTCCAGCCTTTGTGATTCCTTTTGATCAAATCTCTCTGTCAAAAGAGACGCGTGTCATGCCCTCTTCCAGCCAGCTGTGAGGGGACTGGCCCACCACCCAGTGGGGGAGGTGTGTGTGTGTGTGTGTGAAAGAGAGAGAGATCTCCTAAGGTGAGAGGCAGAGAGTTCGACGGGTAGGAGGGTCTCATTCCACTCCCCAGCGCCCAGTTCCAGCACACACTCATCCTGGACACGCTCACACACTCACACAGGCCTGCGGACGAGAGCAGGGATTGTCGATTGCAGGAGAAAGTGTGTGTTGTGTGGGTGAGTGTGACTGAACTGTGAGTGATGGATCTCTCGCAGTAGAAGGTAGAACTTGTACAGACAGGAGCTGCTGGAATGGCAAACTGCTCAGAAACACTGCAAACTTCAGTTTGATCAACATGTCTGAGGTAAGAAGTTTAGTTTGAGTTCGAGTCTTTCTTAGATAAATTAAATAAGAACAAAAGAGGATTGTGAGTTATGTGCACACACCATTATGGTGAGAAAAATATACTTTTTAAAAGCTTGCTTATTTTGTGAGCTGTTCTGTACTGTGTGTGTGTGTTTATTGGTGTGCGTGACAAAAACAAGCTCAACTGTGCATATAAATATGAATTTATTTATTAAGAGCCTTTTTATTTTTTAATTTTTTTAAATAGAGCAATTTACTAGCTAGATCTTTCAGGAGAAACTTTATTGTGCTCTTCAAATGGGTGTGATGTGTCTTCACAAGTGTGTGAGTTTGTTGCTTATCCACTGGAATGTAATTCAAGACAGGAGTAATTCTCTACCGTAATGTTTTTGTGTGGAATGCTTGTTTAATCTAAAGACCAATGTGAAAGAGACATTCATTATAGACAATCACGGAAAGATTTTTGTTAATGGGACAACAGGAGTCAAATTGTTCTTTTTCTCAGCTGTAACAAATCCTGTCTCTGTCTTTGTGCTAATGGTGACGAGTTAGTGTCTCAAAGTAGGACTAAGACCCCGTTTCTGGGCGGGCAAACACAGTTAATGGCCTTGGGGCGTGAAAGCTTTGTGTGTGTGTGTGTGTGTGAGTGTGTGTTTGCTGACTTCATTAAGCTCATGTTGATCTGTCACTGTTGTTTGCTGCTACAGGCCTGTTTTGTGAGATCTGACAGTCAAACTCTTTCTGTTTGAGATTCACCGCTGCGCTTGTTTTCACTGTACGCTGCTGCTTTTCTCTCTTCATATACTTGCACATCTTAATTCTATGCTTTTGTGGTCCCAGTAGAACTACTAACTTAAGTTAACTAACTAACTACTAACTTAACCTACTAAACTAATATTTGTCTGACATTTTGTAACATTCTGGTTTAAAATGTATCAGTCATGATTTTACTTGTGATCTTTGGTCTCAAAGTTTACAAATTTTACATCGTTAAAAAATTGTTTTAATAATCAATCAATCAATAAAGAGTACATTGTTATAATTTTTAAGAAATGTAATTATTTCTTAAACAATAAAATCCAAAATAATATGCTGTATTATTGTTGTCATGTATTTCACGATACAGTCGCACCGTCAGCCATAAAGCTGTATTATTAAACTGTTGAAATGCCATGTAATACAAACATTCTCACATGTATTTCATAAAGAGGAATGAAATGAATACAGTAATGATAGAGCTTTAGAAAATGAACAGCAAATAAGCCAGCATAAGTAAACATTTGAAATGTATTCAGAAATTAACCACTCCAGAAGTTTCTTTGACGTAACCTAATGCATGAAATCATTTTATTTTGAAAGATGTTTTGTGCTTTCTAGTGCCTCTCATGATATAAATATGTACAGTACATTGGGAGGTTTGTGCAGTTTCAATGATCGCTCTCTCTTTGTGTGTGTAAGTGCCAATGTCTTTCATAGTTACGGTTTGAGGAAAAATAGTTATGATGCGGTTATATTGGCTGTTACCTTGTGTTATCGCAATATAGACTTGAGCTGTTGATTTATGCTAAAGTGACATTAATTAATATGAATTTACACTATCTCACTGTATGTTTTGTGCCCAGAGGAATACTTTATATTATTTATTTATTTTCTATATGAATGTACGGTGAGATCCAGTCTAAAACTCTAGAAAAATGCTTGAATTTTGCTTCTTTATTTAGTCTCTGATTTGATAGAAAATCATCATTAATTCATTATCATCATAACAGTAAAAAAAGTTGAATTAAAAACTGGACATGGATTTGAAAATGAGTCTATATCTGGTGTCTCTCTTTTGGTTTAACAGAAGCACTGGAGCTACGAAAAAGCTACGAAAAACTGATGATCATGTTTATTCTCCAGCATGAGAAAAATACAGTGTGTGTGTGTGTGTGTCTCTCTATATAGATACTTACGTATATATATATATATGTATACACACATACACACACACACACACACACAAGCGTATTTAAAAGTGAATGTATGAAACTTTGCATATCGGATAGAAGATGGGCTATTTGTGATGAATAAATACGTGGACTGTATTAAAGCTCAGTGACATTATTACTGTGTGTGTTTGACAGGCTATTTGCTGCACGGTGGTAAACTGTAACTGTGACAGTTTCAAACCTGGTAAACTGAGGCAGCGTCTCTGTGAGCACTGCAGGCACGGCTGGGTCGCCCATGGTGAGTTTCACATTCTAAACAATATTACATTTCACACAAACATTCACACAACTTCAGACCACATTTAACACTCTTAACAGTTGTCTGTTTCTCTCTCTTTCGACTCTCTGTCTCTTCTCCTATTGAACGGCACTTTAAATGAGTATTCTGGGTTCAATTCAAGTTAAGCTCAATTGATTAATTATGTTGATGTTTTCTTTAAAAAATTTGTGTTACACTGAATGAAGCATAATTATATCGACAAGACAGTGCATGTTAAGATGATTTTATTTTGGGGAAAAATGCTTACTAACCTTTTTTGTGAAGATTTAAATCCAATGTTACAAACTGGTTTCCATGACAATTTAATGCCTACAACAACCATCAAAATTATGAGCTCAGATAACACAACTTTCAACATAAGAATTTAAGTGCTTTTATAAAATAAGCTTCACATTTCTGCTTTTAAATCCTGAAAAATTTTTCCCACATTTATTTCCATAGTAAATGCCTCCTTTGTTTTTATGCTTTTCTTTAAAGAAAAAGAGGGACAAGTCAGAAATTTTTTTTGTGGTGATAATCAACATTCTTTCAATTGGTATAATAAAATATGAATAAATACAAATAAACAAATAAATCTTTTAATACTAAATCAGTCTAAATTAATATTGCCTTTCTTTTTTGTTGTAATCGTTGTTTTACATTTACAATATTGTCTGTAAATTCTCATCCACAAAAGCAAATCTATTAAAGCACACTTTTATTACAATGCATATGCAACATGAAGAATTCTTTTAAAATGTATAAAAATGCACACGTAAAGTCACTTAAAAAAAACAACAACAACAACAGATACACACATTCAGATATGAATGACAGAAATGCTTTCATAAAACATATAGAGATGCTTTGCTGATTTCTGCATGTAAACCAGTGTCTGTTTTGCTGAATTGTAGCTCTGAGTAAGCTGAAGGTTCATCACATGTACCAAGGAAGCCAGGTGGAGATTGTTCACTCCAATGTGGTGTTTGACCTCTGTAGTCTGATGCTTTATGGGACTCAGGCGATTCCAGTGCGTCTTAAGATCTTGCTGGACCGACTCTTCAGTGTCCTTAAGCAGGAGGAGGTTATTCAGATCTTAAATGCACTGGACTGGACTCTCCAGGACTACATCCGCGGTTACGTCCTTCAGGTGAGCTGCTGTCGATCTGATCCTTTTACTTGACTCACACTGACCTGACATGCAGAAAAACACACTTCAATTTGAGATGGATAATTACAGTTTTGTCACATTTTTCCTTAAAAATCCAGCGGTGAGCCACTGAGATTTCTTCGTTCTATTTGCTTATCAAGTATTCAGGTGGTTGAATTAAATTCATGGTAGTTCCTCTAGTGGAGAATGTAAAGTTAAAGCCTCTTCAGACCTCCAGATGAATGTTGTATGATGAAATATTTATTTTGGTTACAGCATGAAGCTGCTGCATGACTTTCAAAGCCTGCTGGCACTCAAGAGTAATTACAGGCAGACTGAAAGACTTGCATGACTCCCCTCTGATCTCTCCCCTCCCCTCCTACTTCGACAGGGAAACCCGCATCATCTAAATGAAGAAAAAGTACGCTCCAGAATGAATCGCTCTGCTGCAGTAATTAGACCTCTCAAGTCCACATGCATTAGATGTATGGATGACTTGTTATTTAGTAACTCTGTCAATCTGTCAGAAGTTATGGAGTATTTTAGGGCCCAAGTGTAGAACATTTGTTAGTTTAGAATTCATAATGCAAATGATATTCCTTGTGTGTATGTGTCTAGGATGTGGCCGGTAAGGTATTGGACCGCTGGGCCATAATGACCTTTGAAGAGGAGATCCTTACGCTGCAGCAATTCCTGCGCTTCGGAGAGACCAAGTCCATCGTGGAGCTCATGGCGCTGCAGGATAAGGAGGGACAGGCAGTCGTAGTTCCAACCACAAGGACCAATTCTGACATCCGCAGCTTCATCGAAAGCAGTATGCAGCGCTCTGTGCGGCTGCCGGCTAAAGCAGAAGCACCCAGTTGCAGTAACGGTCACCATTTTGAAACACTAGTCAACAGTATGGCCCTCATGCTGCCACTGCAACTGCTGAATTCTGTTCCGGCACCATTGCTTAGCTCCAGTACCGATTCTAGCCACCAGGAGGCACAGACGAGACATGAGACGTCCGAAGTGAGCCTTGATGGCGCTGGCCCGTTTGACTCCGGCCCCATGATAGCAGAGGTGCTGCTGGACACCGAATCTCCAAAGATGGAGTCAGAAGAGTTTAACATGAGTGGAAACTCCTCTCCCTCCTCACCTTGCACGCCCTCCAACACTTCTGAAATCACACACATGTCTCCTGAGAACAAGGTGCGGTGTGCAGAGAGGATCGGATCCTTGAAGAAGGGCCGTGTGTTCTGCAGCGCTTGCGAGAAGACCTTCTACGACAAAGGCACTCTGAAGATACACTACAACGCCGTTCATCTGAAGATCAAACACAAGTGCACCATCGAGGGCTGCAACATGGTCTTCAGCTCCTTACGCAGTCGGAACAGGCACAGTGCGAACCCGAACCCGCGGCTGCACATGCCCATTAACCGCAATAATCGTGACAAGGACCTGCGGGGTGGTCTGAGCCCAAGGCAGGAGGATGGAGCCGAGGGTGAGAAGAGAGACTTTGCTGCCATCTCAGAGAGCAGGACCGTCTCAAGTTTCATCATCCGCAACTCAGAGCACAAGCTCCATGGCTCTTTATCCAGCATGAGCCAGAGTGGCATCCTCTTTCCCAATCTAAAGACTGTGCAGCCCGTGCTTCCCTTTTATCGGAGCCTGGTGACCCCGGCCGAGCTGGCTCATACGCCAGGCAGCCTGCCCTCTCTCCCGCTTCTGTCTTCCTCGGTGCCCATGAGCACCAGTCACATGCAGACCGGCTCGGAGCCGGTGCCCAAGAAGAAGTCTAGAAAGTCCAGCATGCCTATCAAAATCGAGAAGGACGAGCTGGCGGCGGAGGGTGTGTCCGAGGAGGAGACTCCAGCCCTTAGCCGCTGTACAGACACAGAAAAGTGCGATGTTAGCAGCATGGGGGACGAACCTGTGGACTGTGGCTTTCGATTCGGCCCCGACTCACAGGACACAGAATGGGACAAACTGACTCAGGGGGACAGTCGTATTGTCTCACTGTCATCTACTTCTTTCTTTCACACTAAACAGAATGATGAGAAAGAAAGGGAGTCATCAAAATGTGACGAACCAGCATGCAGTTCGCTGCCAGACCAGCCCTGTGGCCACCGACCGGCCCATTTCACACACAGCAGTGAAAACTTTGCAGACAGCTGCAGTGACCCAGAGACCCTATGTCCAGATGATAAAGACGAGCAGGCGCACCCGTGTGAGATCTGCAGTAAGACATTTAAAAACCCTTACAGTGTCAAAATGCATTATCGAAACGTGCACTTAAAGGAGATGCACATTTGCACTGTGGATGGCTGCAATGCTGCTTTTCCGTCCCGTCGCAGCAGAGACAGGTAAAATGGTTAAGCTTGAGGGAAATGAATGTGTGTGTAATACATTACACCAAGCAGTTTTTTAAAAGCACATGACAGTTTTTGTGTTGTTGTATTAGGACTAAGAGTTTGAGGATTGCCTTAATACATGCAAAATAGTTAAAAACAAAAGCATGTTGTTTTCTCTTCAAACATTTTTGCTTTTAATTCTCTAGACACAGTGCAAACCTGAATCTGCACCACAGGCTGTTGACCAAAGATCATTCAGGAACATCTTCTCTCCGCAGAGAGCATCCAGACTTCCCTCACAAAGAGCCCCTCAGCCAGATGTTTGTCATCCTCAAAGAGAGTCACCGTACGGGCCTCGTCTTCCCCATGAGTAAATCGCTGGAGAGAGCATCTGAGCCAGTAGAGGGCGCTGTGCAGAATGAAGCGGTGCTGGACCTGAGTACCAGAGGAAGCGCCCATTCGTCCTGGGACTCAGACGTGGGCAGTGAGAAAGGGCTCCCTCTAGAGGACAGTGAAGAGAGCTGCGATGGGCTGAGCATTGGAGCGGCCGCGTCTCCACCTTGCCTCAGTCAGCAGACGAACGGCTCGTCGCCCATCATCTGCCATCTCTGTCAGAAAGTTTACAGCAACAAAGGCACATTCAGGGCTCATTACAAAACGGTGCACCTTCGCCTTCTTCACAAGTGCAAAGTTCCAGGGTGTGACACTACATTCTCCTCTGTTCGGAGCCGCAACAGACACAGTCAGAATCCAAATCTACACCGTGACCTTGCGATGAATACCTCCCTGAATCAAGAGTAGGGCACACACTCAGAGCCATATCTCTTAAATATACATAGTCAAAGATTTACTTCTAACAATTTGGGTTCAATAGCACTCCGCTCTTTGCACTGCACAATCAAGCACAACTGGAAGGACACACTCATATTTATAATAAACCCAATGTCATTTACCTTTTTAATGTTGAGATATGTTTTTCATCTCTAATGTAATATCTACTTGACAAACATTCCTTATATTTATTGATTTTTAAGAGCAGGACAGATGCCTAGAAAATGACTGAAGAAATGACAGAGCAAAAGATCGAAGAGACAGAGATGCTCTCCACATGAGTCACATGAGAAACCACATACAGAATCATTTTAATCACCTTGAGAGATCCTTAAAACAATCACTGCTGTTATACAGTATGTTAAGCCCCTCACTCTTTATCCAAAGCCACATAACAATCATGTCTTGTTTTCCTTCTCTGCACTTATTCATTGAGGGGACACATCCCTCCTCAGCATGAGATAGAGACAGAACATTGACACTGCATGACAGAGTCGACAGCAAATGAGAGAGTGACTGTTAGAAAGAGTGAGTGAGCACTACCGAGTGCTGGTGAGAGAGTGATGAGGACCACGAGCTGTTTGAAGGTGCAGGACTCACGTTATCATGTGCTGCAATTAATTTTCTGGTAGTATATTTGTGTTTGCTTGCTGTTCAGATTTGTTTTTATCACAAAAGATTCAGTGAAGTTGATAGATTGTGTTGCTGTTTCAATCAATATGCTGTTTAAAGAGACTGTTGTGGTCCTGTTGAGTAAGTTATTGTGTGTACATTTTATTTTCAGGGGCCAAGCACCTGCAGTGTTGGATCATTTTCATATTCTTCTTGTGTTGGGGGATTCTGTGACGTCCCTGGACCAAATTTTGCTTATGTCTCTTAAACTTTATAGCATCAAACAGTTAAATCTTCACTTTTCTTTTGCTTGTAACTGTTCAACCATGCGGCATAGTACCACATTTTTGTGATAATGTTTATTTGGCAGGATTCACTTTGTCTTAACACTGTCTTCTTGTCGTGAAATCTGTCTCATTGTCTTAGTTATTTAAATATGAATTATTTGCGTCTCAGTCATTTTGACGCTTAAATAACACTTAAACAATGTCCTATTGAATTGACTTGCCACTGTTGTGCTTGGCTCCTTCATTGCTGCTTTCAGCTATATTGCTATAGTTGTTATTCATGTGGAGACCAAAGATTCTTAATCCAGGACGGTGTAAAGCAGCATGAACAACAGAAGCGTCAGACTACACACATGGACACACCAGGGTCTTTGTGAATGCTGTAATGCACACATATGAAAGATTCAGTTAAGATTCAGTTTTCTAACACATTTTCATCAGTTTAAAGTGATATTGCTCTATAATATGTTTAATATTAGTACAGTCAAAGGATTATACCAGTGAAGACTTAAGCTTAGGACAGCAGATGAGGACATACTGATGCACATAAAGCTGTCTGTGAATCAGAGCTGAACAAATCGAGTCTTACACTGGTCGAGCGATGAGGCTCCCACAAACACACACAAACCTGTGGACGTTTATTCTTTTAGCTTTGTTTCATGTGTAAAATATTTTGTAACCTGCCCCCTCCCCACCACCAGAAGTGTACGCTGAAATGTGATGAGAAGGGTTGTCAGGATTCTAATACCAATCTAACCCACAATCATTTATTTGTGTTAACATTATCAGTAAATGTTTACTTTTATACATATACATATAGTCAAGCAGGGGGAAGAAATAAAATATACTTTTTTTTCTTTGTTCTTTTCTGAGCCAAGTGTGATTTGACAGTAATGTAATGACAAACATAACATTCACAATCTTAAATTTGACAAGGTCTGTGTTTCTTAGCCTGACATCAGACAAGTTTCTCAGACATTTGAGAAAATGCTGCGACCTCGTTGACTAAACATTTATGTATTTTGCAAACCTTTTTCATCTAAAGCAACATACAGTTTTGTTTTGTGTGTGTATTTGTCATTTGCACAGCTTACACTGGGTTCAGATATGATATACCTCATATATGACATACCTGTGATTAGGCTCAGATTACAGGGCATAAACAACAGACAGTATGTAAATGAAATTAAGTATAAAAAAATGAAGTATACCTATGGCATAGAATGTTAAATTGTCTCTAGCCAATGCCACCTCTCAGTTCAACATGCACACTCTTTTGAATTTGATGAGGAACTGGATATAAGCTGAAGTTTATTATGAATGTGATCGTGGATCATGAGCCTGAGATGAACAGAACTTCTGTTGAATTGTGTTATCATCAGGTAAAGTTGTCACGTTTTAAATGTTAGAAAAGTATACAATTGATTAATTACAGAACTTTTGGCCAAAACAATTACTATCTTCTGGCAATTCCCACCTGACTTGTGTAACTGCTGTATGTGCGTGCGTGGTGAATTAATTTATATCTTACTTATCTTACTTTATCAATTTATTTTTCTTTTTATGTAAAAAAAATAATTACAAAGTCTGAATTCTGCTGTTAATATATATATATATATATATATATAAGCATTCTGTATCTTTAGCATTTACCATTTACATGCAATTTATGCCACCAAATTACACTTTTGATTGTAGTGAGCTGGCTCCATCTTGTGGCTCTTGTCACACTGAATTTGGTTTGGTTGTTTGAACAGTGGGTCCTAATCCACATATAACACAGCATGAGTTTCTGGGTTATGGTTATGCTTTGAAGACTTTTCCATTGTGTATGTTTTAAACGACAGCATGTACTTGTTGATTAGCATAAACTCAGATAAAACTTAAAGGGGTCATGAACTGAGAAATCAAAATTCCCTTGATCTTTTGATCTCTTAAGAGGTTATTGTACTATAAAAACATCCTGTAAGTTTCAGAATTCAAAACTTTCTTGTTAGTCTAAAAACAGCATATATTGAAGCCAGTCTGCTAAAACGACGATGTGAAATGTGCCACTTTAGGATGTAATAGTGTTGCTAAACCCCGCCTCCACAACGCCTGCTTCTACAGCACTTCCTGTTTAGCCCCGCCCACCGATTCATGCATGTAGTGTAAATAACGAGAGAGGTGAACGCAGGTCTACACAGATATCAAACGATAAAGATGCTCTGAAGACAACAAGATGCTGTTCAAAGCCATGCTGTGGAAAAACAGTCTTTGCATCGCCTGCCTTCTGATCCCAACATTAGGAAAGAGTGGATAAACTTTATTTTTAATAAAGATCCAGACCGCCTCAGTAAGAACTTGGTCATTTGTTCACTTTATTTCCCCACGGATTCATTTACAAACAAAGCACAATTCGAAGCAGGATTTTCAGAAAGATTGAAAGTAAAAGACGATACTGTGCTGAATAAATTGGATCTGACAGTAATTATTGCTCAGTATTGCTTTGTCTGTTATTACAGATCATTTGATATGTACTGAGTATTACTAGAACCAGGAAGTATGATCATATTAGCCCATTTCTGTCAACTCTGCTCTGGGTCCCTATTGAACAATGAATAAGTCAACTAGATGTGCCCAAGAGACAGATCCTCTGTGAAGACCTCATCACCTCGCCGACCATCGGCACAAGACCACGGGAACCAGACAAGTCCTCTGCACCTGTGTTGCAGCCTGGAATTAAACCACGACATGCTGGTTTCGTCTGGCCAGAGCAGAACTGAACCCCGACTGAGTCTGGTTTCTCCCAAGGTTTTTTCTCCATTTCTGTCACCGATGGCGTTTTGGTTCCTTGCCACTGTCGCCTTTGGCTTGCTTAGTTGGGGACACTTGACTGATTGCACAGACACTATTGGAAGAGAGCGTAACTGGATGATGACATCACTGAATCATTAATGAACTGACTTTAGCTGGAAAAATTACTGTTATTGTCTTCTTGCATCATTGACAAACTATTTTCCTGTTAGACACTGCAAAGCTGCTTTGACACAATCAGTATTGTATAAAGCGCTATAAAAATAAAGGTGACTTGACTATTTATGCATTTTTAACCTAAATCACACACAACTGTTAGCCAATTATAGCAGTGGGCGTTTACTTCCAAGTCTACAATCCACCATGTCTTTTCAAACAGAGCGCTCTGATGAGGGGGGTCAAAAACAAATCACAGAAAATAGACTATTACTTCTACATTATGATGTTTTTGATGTAAAAATCTTGATAACATTTTTTGATGTAAAAAGTTTTTTGATGTAAAAATCCAAATCTGGATAACATTATAAGTGAACCTCAGAGTCAAGTCACCTTTATTTGTTTAGCGCTTAATACAATGCAGATTGTGTCAAAGCAGCTTTACAGTGGCAAACAGGAAAATAGTGTGTCAATAATGGAAGAGAACAGTACAAAATAATAAAAAGGCAGTTCATGACCCCTTTAATAGCACTATAGTGTAGTTGTAGTAATGTAAAGTGCAGTGAGATATTCAGTACCTTTAAACTTTTCTTTTGAACTCACACAGTACACTGGTGGTTGTTTGAATGTAACAACATTAATGATTTTTTGTGATGGTAATTATGATGATGATGGTGACGATGATACTTTATTGTCCCTTTCAAGGGAAATTTGTTTTTGGCAATACATCTGAAGCTGCATTACAAGATAAATCTCTTTCTGCTGTGTATTTGATCAGTGATGGTGGTTTATACTCAGACTCGCGGTAACATACACAAACAGGAATTCAACAAGGCTGATGCAATTCAACATGTTATCGACCAAGAATGGTGGTCACTTTGTTTGGACTTTGTTCAGGTGAGAAAATGAGAAAAATAAGTAATTCAACTTGCAGGAATTAGAAGAACAGAATGCTGGATCATCGCTTTTGCCCATGAGAGACAGCATATATTCAATGGCATATATTCACAGCCAGACATGCATATATTTGTGTACATCTACTCATCACAGTCTCTGTTAAATTTATTTTACTACAGTTTTTTCCATTAGTGATGATTAGAAGAAATAGGCCAAAATAGGCCTTTCGCTTCTGGTAAAACAATGGCAGCTTTCAAGAAACAAATGTTTGGAGACAGAAATCAAGTGTACTTGTTCATGCCTACAGTGAAAAATAATCAGATGTCTATTTTCAACTTGTTTGTGTATTATATGCTATGTTTCTTTGACTCAATTAACTAAACCTGTGTGTTCATTCTGAATTATTGTCACAGAAAAAAAAAAATCTAAATGCAGCAGCTAGACTTTATTTACACAAAACTCAAAAAACAAACAAACAAACAAACAAAAAATAGACAGAAAAAGAATAAACTAAGCTAAACATGATGACAACAGACAAAGAACTAAAATTAATGCAGAGCTTAAATACAATGAAACAAACTAATGAACTAAATGAACATCAGTTTTAAATGGACATTCATCTATTTTTTTTTTTTTAGATTTTACTACTTATTTCAGAATGTTTGCAGAACATTCAAAGTCATAATTTTCATAATGCTTGCAAAATGGAATGTTCCCACATAACCAAAAATGTGTGGAAAAAAAACATTCAAAAATAATATTTTTGTAACTTAATGGGAATGTTTGGAAAACATTCATAGAATATTTTATATGTGGCAGTTTAACATTATAGAATGTTTAATTCATACTTTTCTTGTCCTGGTACAATAGTGTGTTTTCATTTTCTTACACAGAGCTTAAAGTTGCATAATGACAAGTTATTTTTTTTCTTTTTTAATTGGCAGATCGCATACTATATAGTGCATTACTGACATCTGCTGGAGGTAACAGAGGTAACAGCTTATACCATGGGCAAAACCATTGACAAGCAGACAGCGGCCAGGAATTAAATGATCTAAGTAACAGACACTAGTGGTATTAATATATGAAAGAAAAAATATATAAACTTAATGTAACTATATAAAATATATTATTTAATGCATAAATATTTATTCATTGTAAAACAGTTTTGTTGAAAACAACAGATATTCCCCTTCCTGATAGCCATGTGGTGTGTTTTAGTCCAGTGTTTGTAATGTTAATGTCTTGAGATTTATATGTTGGGTATTCATGGTCATTATGGTAATAAAACAATATGCCTGATGGAATGTTGCCCACCTCAGGTCTAGATCAGTTTTGTTATTGTTTACTAAAATTCTTAAAAATAGTTTTTGGTACTTGAAATAAATCTGGAATAAAAGTTAAAAATAAATATATTAGATGATTTTTAAGCCCAGAGATTTGTAAAAACCCACCTGAATGTATGAACAATCGCCAGAATGGCAGATGGAAATCTGAAGAATTTCAGCATTCTAAACACAATATCACATTGTCTTTACAACCGTAATGATAACATTTATCAACTAATTAAAGTTGTGAAATTTTTATACAGTCACAATTGCATAGTTAGAGCATGTTTTACATTGGATATTAAATCAAAATGAGTAGATTTGAGAAACAGTTTTACAGCTTCCGGAAACCAGTTGAAAAACCAAAGCAACCTCTGAAATGAACTTTTATATCCTGCTTTGGTGAATCATGGGAGGTGGGTGAAACCAAATGCAGAGAATGGAGGGGATTGTTTGTTTTAGAATAGAATGCCTTTACAATGGTGAAACATGTTGTTGTACGTTTTTTTTTATAAGGGCATGTACAAAAAGCTTATAATATTGAGGTTTGTTTATTTAGTGAATGTAATACTTGGTTGTTTGAATCCCTGTAAATGGTTGTGCCCATGAGTATAAAGGCACAGTAGCTGAACTGGCAAATGATTGTCA